CTGCGGTCCGGCAGGTCTTTGCACCTGGGCTCCTGTACCACAGGGGGTACGCTCCCCCTATAATTCATGGAGAATCAAATGTAAAGAACATGGAAACTACTATTTAGGGTTTAGGGTTTAGGGGATATGGGTACCCTTGGGGATATATTGGGATAATGGAAAAGAAAATGGAAACTATAGGGATTATGGGGTTTATATAGGGATTATAGGGGATATATTGGGGATATATTGGGATAATGGAAAAGAAAATGGAAATTACAGGGGATTATCTAGGGATTATAGGGTATGTCTGGGGTCCAGGGGGTACACTACCCCTATAATGGAGAATCAAATGGAAAAGAAAATGGAAACTACTATTTCGGGTTTAGGGAAAATTTTGGAGATTTGGTTTAATTAACTTCCGAAAGTTCAGAAAGTGTAGCGTAGAAGATGAATACTCTGAATGAGCCCGGGCGTCTCGTGCGGGCGGCACCGCCACCAGGCCTACTTTGAAGCCTGCGGACACCCAGGGTGCAAACTTCACTGGAGATCGATGGGTTCCATCCTTCCTAGACTGAGGCTACAAGGCTACATGAGCCCTTGAAACATAGTTCGTTTTGATGTGCATTATAGGTTGTAGGTGAGTATAAGTACATAGGCTGGAAAGCATTACCAAATCAGCCAGAGGCGCACTGTCTGGAGTGCCGTGATGCACTTGTTAGCCTCCATAGGCAGAGTTTCTTTTTTTGGATAGCCTGCCACACCGTCGCCTTGTTCCTTGAAGGACTCCTCATTCCCTCTCAGCAGGATAACGGCAGCGAGGTATCGATTGCTCTTCAAGTGTGACACATCACTCAAAACGCTGGAGGTCTCAAACAGCTCTGTTACAATCTCTTGAGGCGAAAACGTCTCATGGTTTTCTTGATCCTTGCCACGAATCGGCGCCAACGATAGAACCGGATATCGGAACTCTTTGGAGGGAACCAGGTTCGTGACAATCTCGGTCATTTTGGCACTCAGCTGGGCTTCGAAACGAAGAGAGGTCGTGCATGCAGAGATGGTTTGCGCAATGAGTCGGTTCACATGATGGAAGTCTGGATTCTTGATGCACTGCTTTGACTCAACCATCTGATATACCGCCTGATTATCAAGCATCATGGTCACGTCAACCACGTCCCGTGTGTAGAACGTGGAGAAGATGCAATTGTAGGGCTCCACCATACTGCTAGCAAACTGACGGGATGGAAAGACGATGGGCTGAAAAATGACCTTCTTATCAAATGCCTCGTGCAGGTCGTGCAGAATCTCGCAGCCAATGCCTGACCCGGTCCCCCCACCGAAAGCATGGAACACGAAGAAGCCCTGCAGGTTGGAGCACAAGTCCACCTGCAAACGAACTCGGTCAAGAACGTCCTCCTTCACTTTGAGGTGACTTGCCATGAAGCGGCCCTCGAAAAAGTTGTTCTTGCAGTCCTGCTTATACCCCAGCACGTTCTCAGGATGAAAAAGGTCTGGACTCTCGGAGAGAATCTCGTTGCGCGTGCTTGGGTCTGTATCAACGAATATCGCACGAGGCACATGCTGACCTGCGTGCGTCTCTGAGAAAAAGGAATTGTAGCTGGTGTCATCTGGATCAACGAAGCTTTTCTGCAACATTTCCAGGCTGCGCTTGCCATTTGGCTCCACACAGTGTTCTTTGCAGAATAGTGTCCATGTATCCTGGCCAATCTGACAGCCAGCCTGTCCAATGTGGATACAGATGCACTCCCCGTGAGTGCTTGAGGTCATCTGGACGGGATCCGCTCTGCCTTCAAGAGCCTATGAGTGAATCGTGCTCAAAAGGTTTGCATGGTGACCGGCATTGGGTCTTCAAAATGCTCTTTGCCTGAATCTAAAAGTAGGCGCAATCACACATGAATCCTTGCTGCGGGATTTCCAAGAAGGCAGCCCTATCTAGAAAGACGCCCCATGTGGCCATAGAACAACACTGAATAAACTTTGTCTCAAATTCTGTGATGCCTGCCCTTCCTTTCTGACAGGGTTTGAGCAAATCAAGGTGGACAAAACCGAGGCAGTAAGAGTATTCATGCGATCAGCAACACGGCACATGCTACCAACAACTCATACCGAGAGAGTGCGAATCACAGTATTGAGGCACAACGTGCTAGGAGTGATCCAGTTGAAAGCCCTCAGGCATCAAAAACCCAGGATCTCAGCATCGCGTGTGATTCATAAAACCAATGTTATACCACTTCTCACTTGCACGGTGCAAAAGGAATCTCGACACGATGACTGCAATCGTCATTGCGCTTATGTGTACTTACAACCACGAAATGAAAATCTATGTTCCTGCCACCGCAATATCACCGGTGACTGTTTTATTTATGTTCCTACTATGGAATCATAAATACATGCTGCTTTTGCGTTTACTGCGTGCTGACCGCTCTGAGTATCATGGCGTGAACTGCTCTGCTATGACTTGTCACACTTGAAGGAACCCTTTCGGTAGCTTCTTGCCAAAACCTGCTGGCATCATTTTCCGCTGCTGAGAGTCTGCCTTAAAGTAGGAACGATCGGGCCAAGAACTACGGCTAAGGTGAAACCTGCATGCACTGCAAGGTCCTGAATCTGACAATGGAGATTGGCAGAATCATCTCCATGGTAAGCTGCAGCTGCGCACTGCTGCATCGAAACAGTTCTCAGGATCACGGCCCCCTTACTTACCCGCCACAGTTTAGTAGATACCATGGGGGGGGGTTGTTACGATGAGTGCGGCTGCAGTCATAGTTGTAGTAGTGCCTGTAGTTGTAGGTGTCGTTGTAGTCCTAGTCGCAGTTGTCGTCGTACCAGTAGGAGGTAGGTAGTAGGTAGTAGGTAGTAGGTAGTATGTAGTACGTAGTACTTTCGAGGTTGTAGGTGATCAGTAGTAAGTAGCAAGAAGGATCTCCTGGCTTCACGGAGATTCTCTTGCCGTTGCAAGAACGGAACGCTTGGTTTAGGGTCTTGGCTTCACGGAGGACGTTGCAGATGAAGTGGGTCCAAGGTTGGCAGCATATAACCCTATGTACGTACCCCCTGTCAACCATAAAAATCCCGCTTTGTGAATCGGATGCCTTGGAGTCTAGTGTAAGGGGGCACCACTCCGGAGAATTCTTACAGCTAGTGAATGTGTCCTTCCGTTCCAGGCAAGTAAGACCGTCCTGTCTGCAGGGCGCAGGGAAAGCTCGACATGTTCTACATTATGATGTTGAGAACCCCATGAACTCCAGTGAACGTGCTAGCCTACAACCTACGCCCCAACCCTAGATTGAGAACTGCTCCAGAATATTTAGAGCACAGAAAGGGCAGGTCTGCCCCACAGAGGCAATGAAGTGATTAAACGATTGGTAGGGCTGTCTCAGGCTTGGCAGGTCCCTTTTGGATAAATTCTGCATAGGCCGTCTATGGAGATGAGATATCATACATATATATATATATGTGTATATATATGAAATATGTCTGGATGAAAAGGGGAAGATTCATGAAACTGGCAGGTGTGCCATCAGGTATGCATGGATCACATACTTGCGTGGTGTGTAGATATCTGCACATACATATATATATATATATATTTGAATATGCATGAATATGTGTGTGCACGTGGATATGGAATACTCTGCACGATGTAGACGCACAAACTCCACTGTTTTGGGGACCCAAGTCGGAGACAGCGCTTGCTAGCGGTTTCTTAGCTGATAGCATGGGCACTTTCCTTTCCTGGGGCCCTCTTCGCAGAGTCAAAAAATTGGGGATTCAGGGCTTGCCGTGTACCTGAAAGAGCATAGCGCTGTCTTCATAGCCCCTTGTAGCCATAGCTGAATTTTTGTTTTTGGCGACGAGATCAAGCTTCGGACTTTAGATAAGGTCTTCCGCTGTACTGCTGCAGTTCAGCTATCGATTCTGCGGCCCTGATGTCGAAAAGCGCTCACCTACTGATGTCGGATCTGTACACAGGCAACAGTCTAGGGGCTAGTCGGATTTGAACGAGCGCCTTGTACCATGTCTGCACTATTTCGCCATGTGCGTGCCGTAACAAGCCCAAGAAGCTAAGACCAAGACCCAGACCCGACACAGCCACCGCATGCAGGAACAACCCGCGCGCAACTACCCTAAATGTAGTCATCTTGGCCTTAGTATGATTGAGTAAAAGTCGCTGCGTAAGTCATAGTATGTTCCATGCAAGTAGCCTGGACACAGATCCATCCTGGCACACTCAAATGGTGCGGAACCCAAAGACCAAGAAGTCATGCGTTGCTTGGTCCTGGAAGTGTCTCCCCCTAAGGTGCGAGTGCCCTGCTCTTGTGACTGCTCTTCCGGGTATAACATTCAGACTATGCGGATGACAGCTGTGTGATACATGCTTAACCACAGCCTTGTCTGCAGAAGTGCATCTGCCTGGGCCCCTTTAAGGCTTATGGTCATGCCCTGGTCATGTTTTTTCTTGCTGCACCTATCTTCGTTCTAATCTCTAGCAGTACGTAGAAAACCTGTTGTAAAGATCAATATTGTTGGCTTTAGATCATTGAGGTGCTGCGCTGCTGCAGCTGCAGCGGTTGCTGCTGCTTTCCTGCTACTGCTGAAGTCGTGCTTACAAGATTGCACTGTTGTGCAATGGCTAGACAAGTGCTGCAAAAGAGAAGACCAGTGGTACCATCATGACTATGAAAGAATCATCATTATTGGGGTACTATCCCTATATATCCCTTTAAAGGGACCTAGGGTTTCCATTTCATTTTCCATTTTCTTTTCCATTTGATTCTCCATTATTGGGGTAATATTGGGTACCATACTGACACTATGAAATACCCCTATAATCCCTACATAACCCCTATGTAATCCCTTTAATCCCTGTAGCTCCCATTTTCTTTTCCATTATCCCATTATAACCCATGACACTGAACAATCCAACTCGTTGAGGACAACTCGCTGAAGATCGCGTTGTTGTTGCTAATTATGGTACCCAATATTACCCCAACAATGGAGAATCAAATGGAAAAGAAAATGGAAAATGAAATGGAAACCCTAGGTCCCTTTAAAGGGATATATAGGGATAGCACTCGTACCAGGCCTTCGCCTGTTTGCACAGATGACCTACTAAAATCCACTTAGGTATGTATGACATGTAAGCTTCACGAGTCAGACTCACCCGGAGGGATATAGGACACCACATCTAGCTGTTCGGAAAGATTCGGGAAGTACGTGAGATAGTACCTGACAATCTTGGTCACTACATTTAATTCGCGACTCTTCCAAAAAGTTATCAAGCTTGCTCATAACACGGCTCAGATGGGGGAGTCCTACTCAATTGTGAGGACGAGCCTTCATTGCCTCGTGATGCGTCAAAAATTCCGGTCCCTCTGTTGCTGTTAGGTGCTGTGTATATAAGAGTGACCATGATTTTGACACACGTGCACATGCCAACAGGGCCGTTGGATATATACAGAATGCATGCAACACCTGCTGGCGCTATGCGTAAACTGCTTGAAACGCGAGTCTGGCACCTTTCACGTTGGGTGGAAATGGTAGTTTCCCAAAATAAGGGGACCCTATATAGACCCCAATATACTATGATCCTTATTATGGGGACCCTAAATAAGGTACCCCTAATTTTGGGAAACACACAAATAGGCTCTTCCACCTTCCTGCTTCTCAAAAAGGACTGCTGCTCTGGGGTCACTCAAACCGCGCAGCAGCAGGATTCACTGACACTACTAAATAAACGACAAGCTCTCGCTCACGAATTCATGTAGCTTGGTGATGCAGACCTGGGCAGGTTCTGTACCATGCAACCCTGCGGAAATCACATGTTGACACCTGGCTCCTAAACCAGGGTCTCGTATGCTGCAAGTTCTACTCCCAATGGGCGAGAAGCAAAAGCATACCTTTTAACTCTAGCACCAATGTTTGGCGCACGAAGCCCGCCTTTTGGCTCTGGCACCAATGTTTGGCGCACGAATCCCGTACCACTGCAGCCCCCGTGCAAGACTCTTAATCGAAAACCCTCATCCCCAAGCCAACCAACTCTTCCTCTCACCAGTTTTGAGGCGTGGGGAGATCGTCACAATGCTTACTGCAACCTCATCTAAACTCCAAAATCCATTTGGTAGCTTGCAAAATCTATTTCCTCAAAAGACACACCCAACACGCGGATTGCTTGAAAACCACCATTGTGAAGATCACTGCAAAGGCGCGACTATTCAAAGAAACCTGGGCCCTCCACTCGATTGCATCGACCATCTTCAACCTCAACAGCAACAACGAGATTCCTTTAGGCTTCCGGCTTCTGGGAATCTGCACGCAATGGATGGGGGTAATGCAGGAACCTTCTAATGTTCAGGAAATACGTTGGAACAGTTTGGGACCAGGCCTTCATATTTGGGGGGGTTTGGGGGTAGGAAGCTGAAGGTGAGATGGGGAAGATGTACTGTACTGGGCTCCTTCCTTTTCCTTTTTCCCTAAACCCTAAACCCTAAATAGTAGCTTCCGTTTTCTTTTCCATTATCCCTTGATAGCCCCTATACAACCCTTAAATAACCCCCATGTAACCCCTATAGAAGCTTGAAGAGTTGTGGATGACTGTAAGGCTGCAAGGTTTTGGAGTTAGGACACGGAGGTCT